TAGTGGCACTAAAAGTAAAGCATATAAAAGACACTTGTGCCTGCCTCTGAATGTAAAGCTCTATGATGGAAGTGACAATAATAACCTTTTCTTTTTTCTTTTTAGGATTTAGAAGAATTCTGCTTTAAGTTTTGTGTCAATCACTTGACAGAAGTGACACAAACTGCAGCATTTTGGCAAATGGATGGTCCTCTGCTAAAGGAATTCATTGCTAAAGCCAGTAAATGTGGAGCTTTTAAGAACTGAAGCAAGAGGCTGTAAGTTGGGGTGATTGCAGGGATTTTTTTTGCAGTTGGCATGGTGTAACAGGCTGGCCAAACCATATGGGTAAAAAACACCTGGTCTCTTGTATCAGAAGATATGAAGGTCTGTATAAACCCAAGAACAAATGTTTTGTGTGCTTAAGAAAGAGTGAACTGCTGTTCAAAATATCAAGCAAAATACTCGCTTGCATTTAGCAACTCAGGATGTTGGAACCAGCTCAGGACTTCAAGTGGAAGGAGAAAAATTGCAGCATGCAAACGATACCAAGTGGTGTTAAGGACTTCTCAGGCTAGGAAGTCTTGATTCTAGCACTGTCAATACTGTAAATTTAGTACTGGCTATTTGGGGTTGGAGAATAGTCCTGCCTGAGCCACTGAATGATGTCACTTAACCATTAACTCCACGGGATCATGGCAAAGCAAAGGGCCTGGATCTCTTTTAATGTGGCTGCATGATTGTGAATGACATTGCCATTTGCAATTAACCAAGTGTATTTCAGTGCTTCAAGTGTGCAGAAATAATAATGTATCCTTAAAGCCTATGGAAGTGACTTGGAAGAAAGGGGTAACTAACAAATGTAACTGGCAATAAAGCACTCTGAGTGTACCTTAATATAAGTAGAAATGTGTACTTTGTGTAAGCTGTACAGCAATATTTATAATGGCTAATGAAGGACTTGCCTCTTTGGTGATATCAGGTTAAATTGGTTCCTCTGGAGGGGAAGGGATGTACTTGTTTGGAAGTGTGTGCTTGCTTTTGTGGGTGTGTTTGGTTTGTGTTTTTTTTGTTCTTTCTAATTACATGTAATAAAACTTGCTGTTTTGTACTTACCTACTAGCAAACCTCTTTTGCCTTGGAAGGAAAATCTCAAACTTCTGGTTAACAAAAAAAAAAAGTCTTATTTTCTTGACAAATTTCAGGAAGCAAAGCAGCACAAAAGGATTTATTCATAGATGCTGACTTCCATGTCAGTGACTATATTCTCTGGATCTGCCTGCTTTTTAATAGGTTGGATGGGTGTATTTTTTGAAATTGTAAGGTGGTTACTATGCACTTTTGAGCTGTTCCTTCATCAATTACAGAATAGATTAATTTTAAGTTTGAAACTTAAGACATTTACCTATAGATGAATTCTTCCTGGATTTGTGATGCTGTCACAATTAAGTTTTCCAGGGCCTAGAAGTTGGGGCTTCATCAAGATTTCTTGGCCAGAAGACTTCTGGCTCAGAGATTTCAATCTGGAATCTTCTGGAAAAAATGCTTCCACAGGTGTCATAAAGGCAACTCTGCTTTCAATAATGTATTTACTTTTTTTTTTTTTTTGACCTAAGTAAGTGGCTGGTGAGGTAGAGCTGCCCCTCATTAAGGGGGCCCCCATGAGCCCTGCAGCCTTGGGCAATTCAGCTTCCGAAGAGCAACAGCTCCTGCTGCTGCAGCCTCTGCTCCCTCCTGTGCAGGGCCAGGTAACCACTGCAGCCCCCCACCCCCCACAACACTTAGAGTATGGACAACTACTCAATATGCAACTTTCTTAAAAACATTTTAATTAACTTACAGTTTAGCTAGACAATGTTTTTCTGTATTCAAACAATTTCAATACAGTCACCTTGAAGACAGAAGAGATGGAAGTCCCCTCTCCGTTCTTCCTTGAGGAAGGAGACTGTGATCCCTTATCTGATCCCATTTGATGAGGGCCGTGGTATCGAAGCAGGGGCCCCCAAGCTTCCTGTCTGCCTGTACTCGCTGTCTTACCACTGCTCCCACAGCAGATCTAGCTATATACTTGATACTGTCAGGGAGGAAATCAATTAAAAACCCACAACCTCCTGTTCATAATTCAGAAGGGTTCTTTGAGTGCAAGTTCTGCTACTGTGTCTTCTTTGGAAAGCCAAAGCAGCCCTGTGAGTCTTCAAACACCACCATCTGCAAGGAGGCAGGGAAGCAGCTCCCATGCACAAGCTGAGGGAAGCTGCTTCACCTAAAGTGACTTTAAAAAAAGGGTTTGGGGGCAGCTCTTGCTCCATTGGAGGGGGGAAAAAAAAGGGATGGAAGGCTTTGTTCAGCATTAAAAAAAGCTAAATTGCCTAACACTCATTGATCCACAGTAAAAAAAATAAAGGAACAACTTAAAATGATTGCACCAGTGAGGTATAAAAATGAATAGAACCTGATTTCTTGTGTCCCTATCCTTGAAAAAAAAAATCACTTACTCACCAGACGTGCTCTAGGGTTTCTAGCATCAGAGAGTTCTGACTAGTCCTGCTGTTACAGAAAGACTTGGGAGTTAATCTGACACTGTACTGGATGTGCTAGCAGCAGTCTCCTGGTTGGGCATGGTCACGTCTCTTATGTCTTGCAGTAGCTCAATCTGGTTATCCAGTTTCTTCCTAGTTTCCAGAAGTTCCTGGATTTTTCCTTCTGTCCCTGTAATACAGAGGGGAAGGATATAAATTGTTAGGTGTGTGCAGTTAGCATCAAGTGTTAATGTTACATGTGCATAAACACTGAGGGTGCAGAAGTTGCCAGCAGTTTAGTCTACCATAAAACCTCTACTCTTCTGCAGCAGAGTCCTTAGCTAGACATGTTGCTGCTTGGGTTGCTCTGTTAAGAGATGGACTGAGGGGTCTCTAAAGAGAAGAGAAAAATCTCAAGTTAGTTCTTGCCCTGTGTCTTTCTTCAGACTAAACTGCCACTTCTCAAGACCAGCTCCATTACACATTTAACTTGAACTATCAAAACTCACATATAAATTAGTTACCAACTGTTATTTTTTGTAAACAAAACTTAAATGTTCCACTTCCAGAACTCTTTTGGATGGGAATGAAAGATTTATTTTAAATGTTTAAAAATAACTTTGAGGGAAATGTTTAGAGAAAGTTCAGAAACCTATGGGATTTTTGATAACTTTTTTTTTTTTAAACAGAAAGGAAAGGGGTTGGATAGCTGAATTCAGCAGCTTATGTCTCACAATCTAGGGTAGCTGTGTAGGTAATGTACCTGGGTTAACTAAGAGCGTTAACTGCTATTACTGCAGCTAAGCTCCTGCTCTTGGGTATGTGCCTGCCTTCCATGAAGCCAAGCGAGCCCCTTCTTTGTGTGCAACAAAACTAGAAGGAAGTCAGTTTTTCTTTGGAGGATGAGAACCAGGCTCTCCAGCCTAGAATTCCAAAAATCCACTGTGATAACTTCAGGTCCCATGTGCAATATTTTAATGCAGCAGGTTTGGAGTACAGCTGCATCGTAAATAAGCACTGTTTAAATAAGAAAGAAAGCCCTACACTCAGAAAGGCTTAAGAAACACCACTGCAACAACTACCGTTTGTAGGGGTCTTTCTGTGCTGATGCATCAGGCTTTAGAAGATCAAAAATACAGGCAAGAAAGGATAAAATGGAAAAAAAAATGGATTAAAGGTAAAGCTCAGATGGCTTAAAGTGACTGATTGCAGAAGAAAAAAATAGTCTTTAGTACTTCTGGACTTGTTTATATAATAATTTCATACATCATTATGGAGACTTAGCAGCTAAGAGCTTACAAGATGAATTGTGACAAAAGCCTAGTGACCTCTATCCCTGCAGTTTCACTGGCAACTACCACATTCCCCTTTTTCCTCTTTGACCATTTCAGGAGCAGAGCTCCTCTTAGACCAGTCTTGAAACCAGCCTTGCTACGTCCCCTCATTGACCCTGAAAGGACAAGCATGGGTAGGATGTTGGCTCAGGGCAGCAGGAAGGAAGTCTGCAGCACAGAAAGAACCGAGTGCCTGAAGCAGTGGGGAATTGGGTACAACATTCACAGCACAGAGACACCCTGCAGGGTACAAAGCTGCCCATACCAGGAACTTCTCTCCAGCCGAGAAGGGGATGAACTGACTAACTGATGCAACTGTGAAAGAAATAAGTATGATCACAGTTGCCTCCCCTGAGCTGCATTATGGCCACCTCATATTATGTGTGGTATTAAAGGCACCTTGCCTGGGTAATTCACCCCCTGTTGCCCCCTATTCCTGGGGCAGGAATTGGAATGTGAGGTGAGACCCGAGAGAGGTTCCCAGCTTGTCCCATTAGTGATGTGAAGGCTTAAAGGACAAGATGGTTGTTAGTTCTCTTTAAAGACAGCAGGAGAAATGGAAAGGGGAAGCAGCAAATGTAAGGCAGAAGCACTGAGCCTCAGGGTTAGCTGTTTTACACCCATCTCCCCTTTGTCATGAAGAAATTAAAGCAGAAGTTAGAATAAGGTCACTAACTAGTTGAGGCAAATGTGAGCAAGAGATCTGCTTAACTGAAAAACAAACAAACAAACAAAAAAACAAAACAAAAGCCTTTTTGCTTGCAATAGCAGAGACCGAAGTCCCTGCCCCAGAGGTTCCTTCCACGCCGAGCAGCGAGTGTGAACAGCGGTCACAGGGAAGGAGCAAAGTCTCCTGGAGACCAGGTGCTCAAGGGAGGCTGCAGAGAGGCCTCCCTGTGCAGCAAGGAAAGGAACCTGCAGAACCTTTGGTCCTTTGTAGTAGAGACCTTTTGGACTTTCCAAACTATGACTCATCTCTCCCTCTGTGTCACGTAGCCAAACTGTATTTCTAAAGATTCAGGTATCAATGGCTTTTCCTCAGTAATTTATGTAACATTGAGAAAAGTTCTCTGGAATTCTCCTCTTAAGTGATCATGTTATCAAAATCCTCAGAACAACCACCTGAATGCCCCCAAAAACACCGCAGAGTGCTGATAAAGAGCTTATTTCACATACCTGAATGAATATTTGTCAGTATGTTTTCAAACAGCCCGCAGTCAAACAGCGACATCACTGTCTCTTCATACTCTGAGGATAAAGATCATTTGATTCACTGACGCACAGTGTAGGGTTACAGAACATTTTGATTAACATGGAGCCCTGCTTAGAAGTAGCACAAAACATTAACTACTTCTACCAATTACTTGAGGTTTTAAGTACACAGGGAAAAGACTTTCTTTTCATACAAGCTGTATGGAGAGGGAAAGGGCACTCTGCCAATGCACAGGACTGTGCCATGCTCAGCACAACCAACTTTGCCTTTCTAGCACCGGGAGTCTGATTTTTCACTGGACACTCCTATCAGCTCCTGGTATATTAAAAACCAGCCCCGACTGACAGCTCTATTTCATAATTGAGGCTTCCCCAATTTGTATTTCAAAATACAAAATGCCTATGGAGTTCACATGACTATGTTTCCTTAATGATGAAACCCTTTGATTAGAGGGAATCTTCTAAGAACCAATTGTTTCCTACATGCTGATACTTAAACCAATTAAACTCCCAAACACATATTCATACTTAACATTAAATTTCCAAGTATATAGTGTATATAAATACCTTAAAGGAGGGAGGAGGATGAGGCCGGCCTCTTTTCAGTGGTGGCCGGCGATGGGACAAGAGAAAACGGCCACAAACTGAAGCACCAAAGTTCCCCAGGAACTTAAGGAAAAATTTTGTAACCGTGAGGGTGATGGAGCCCTGGAACAGGCTGCCCAGAGAGGTTGTGGAGTCTCCTTCTCTGGAGATCTTCCAAACCCACCTGGATGCCACCCTGTGCCACGTGCTCTAGGTGTCCCTGCAGGAGCAGGAGGTTAGACTAGATGATCTCTAGAGGCCCCTTCCAACCTTAGTGATTCTATGATTCTAAGTAATCACCCCAGTAATTCATTACCACACTTGAAGTGTGCATAGAGAGTGCTGGTATTAATAGCCAGTTGGTCCCTCCATGAAGGCCTCCAAGAGCAGTGTAACTTAATGATTCACATAAAACCTTCCTGTTCTCTCTGGGACCTCTCTCTCAGGGCAGTTAACCAAGATCTCCAAGGAAGGCGCCCCATGGCTGAGGGCCCTCCGCTGAGATCAGCGATGCGGCCGCGGGAGCAGCATCCCCCCGGGCTCCCTGTACCCGTCTCCGAAGTGTTGTCATCCATCAGCTTTTCCTGAGCCAGGTGAAGCGTGTCCAGCATCTCCTCAAAGATCTCATCCAAAAGCCCCGCCTGTTTGCACTTCCTAAGAAAGTCTATTCGTACTGTTAAAACACAGAAGCAAAAGTGATCCTCAGCACAGCTGCATGAGGATATATTTTATATATTAATGGTAACAGCTCTCACTTGCCCTCTCTCAAGGCGACTAAACATGTGCTTAAGCCCCCTGCCGCGCTACTAACAGATCCTTACGCGAGGATCCTCAGCTCTGTCCTCTCAGCCCTTTGCAATGCACCAATAATGCAGTCAGGCCAACACTAGTGTTGTGCTAATTGGGTAAAATTGCATAAGCTTGGGCTGCATTGATCAAAAATAACCATCCCCACAACCCTAAGTGCTCCCCACCTGAAGCCTCTTGCCTAGAAAACAGCACAAGAAGGAAGCCAATATTACATTTGGTAAGAGGACCAAGTGACGCAGGCAACAATCTGCTTTATTACAGTCCATTTGGTATGTCTGTTTTGTCAGGTTTGGCTTGCAGGGGAAATACAACTGCTTGTTTTTAACTCCCTTCTCAGAGCAGCAGGTCAGGGAAATGTTTCAGCAGGACCAGCTGTTTAAAAGGAAAGAGCTACTAAAGAACTCGGAGAAGGCTGCAAGTCTCCACTGAAACGTGATGAAATGACATTTTCTTTCAGGTTTCCAGTAAAAAGTGACACTAGATGTCCTACAAACAATTCCATGATTCTCTACAGGCTCCCTGTTCTTTATAAACGTATTTAAAAAAATACTCAGAAAAAGAACACTCTGCAGCCACCTACAGTTACAAGACCATGTTCCTTCACTCAATACATGCGAGCTGGGTAAAACCCACTAACATCTTCCAAACTTCTGCCTGGCGGTGGCTCCTGCTCACAATTACAGCAGGACTTTGGGGATAACGTGAAAATTGTGGAGCTGCAGGATGGGTCCAGCAGTGGATTTCCCATATATTATAGTGGCATATTTATGCAGTAGCATAAAATACTTGGAGAGGGAGGAAAAGGGTCAGGCTGAGGTACCCATGTCTGCACACAGTTCAACACGGCAGCCGGCTGGAGCAGAGGGAGTATTTTAAAAAAACAACAACAACAACAAAAATCCACGGGAAGAACTGGCTCATGTCAGACAGAAATCCCAGCCCAAGCAGAGACCTGCCTGCTGCACAGCGACAGAAAACCTGCACAGCCGCCCTGCTACACCAGACTCACTCCCTTATCAGGGCACTTATTGCCTTGGGAAAATAATAAAACGATGCGTTTGCAGCATTTTAATCAAACCTCTCCCAACCCTGAATTTCAGCATAACAGATCACCATCCAATTGTCCTACAAAATAAGTCGCACCTTTTTGCCTGTTTTTCCTTTTTAGTATCCGTAAGCCGTCTTCTTCTTCTGTGTCTTCTGTGCTCTGTAAAAAATCATAAAGTTTACATCACATTGACCCTGACTGCTTCATTTCCACTATCTTCTTCATTAACAGAGAGAGAAGCAGCGCTCCACGTCTCAGGGACCAGACCACTCTCCCCACCATGCTCAGCATCAGTCCCCTCTGCAGACTTTACAGCCAGTTTTCAAAAGGGAAGCAAAACCATCTGTTTAAGAGGAGTCCAATAACTGGGACACCTCCCTTCAGGATTATTATTACTATTATTGCGTTTGCCCAGTAGATTCAAATAGCACAGATGCCACCAAATGACTGCTGCTAAACCCCAGCACGAATGATGTTTGATTCTCCAGACTGGATGCAATGCTTAAAAGGATTCCAGAGGAGAGGAGGAAAGTTTTTCTTTTCCTTCAGGCTGGATGCAGGATTCTCTGCTGTTCTGCATCATCCATTCGTACTAGGAGTGATTCTTAAGCACTGCCACAAAACCGGAGTGCAAACCAAAGTGCTTACACGATGCTAAACGATTGCTAGGCAAATTCCAGGGCAAACATCCCATGTACTCGCAGTGTTTGCATCGAGTACTGGGATTGTTGACACTGGAAAGCAGCAGAAACAGCACTTTAAGTTGGGTAACAAACAAAATGAATCTCAGCTACAAAACCAGAAGGGTAAGTGGATTTGCAACTGCAAAATTCCCAGGGACAGATAACCTACTAGAAACTGATGCTGCATGAGAGCTGCAATGCTCCTGTGTCCCCTCAGCACGACCCACTTCACCCTCCAAGGCTGAGAAATTTGTCCCAAGAAAAGCTGGATGGAATCCTGACTCCACACATTAATGGCAGTTTGCAAGCCAGCAGAACCACATCATGCTCAAAATTAGCTGTATTTAAGTTTTCTAACAACTGCCCCTAAAAGAAAGGGAAAGAACAACCTGCAAGCAGAGGGCTGTTCTGCCCTCGGCTCCTGAGCCCTCAGGAAGGCACCTTCAGAGGCAGAGCTGCCACAGCTCTCTCATCTAGAGGGAAAAGCTGCCACCTTTGCCAGAAGTGCAGGCTCAAGGAAGTAACTGCTGGTTTAAGAGGGCAAGTGACTCATCAAAAGCAGCTTTCATGGAAACTGCATCACCCCTAGGCAAACCTAGCAAGAGCTTTAGAAACTTCAGAAGAAAAGAAAGCAGTCCCCAAGGGGAAACTCCTTCTCTTCCTGTCAAGATCACAGCTGCTGAGTCAGTCTGTGTTCAGAGGGCTGAGAGGTTCCCTTTTTGCACCACAGGACCTTAGGGCAGGATCAGCTCCACCTGAAGTGGCGCTGAACACAGGCTCCCAGGACCAAAACTTAACAGTTTTAGTAAGCCAGAAAAGAAAGGCTTTGCACTCCTGAGAGCCAGTGCCTTTCTGCGTGCTCCTCCAAACCCTGTGCTGCAGCAGCCGTGGGTTTCTGTTTTAGAACTACTGAAACTGGGAATTACCACGTGTTCCTTGATGGCGGGGGATTTCATGGCGCGCCTTTTCCTCTTGCTGGCTGCATCTAGAAACCAAGAGACAACAAAGTAACAACGTGTCAACCCCCAACTGGAAATTTCACACAATTCAAATTCTCTCTTTACCTCCAAAGCTACAAAAGTCAGACACTTCGGGTGACAACACACAAGTGTATTTGAGCTTCCCCAAAACCTAGTGTTTCAGTTCAATTTATATTATTTCTAAGTAGGAAAAAGTGTAAGATTGAACCATGAAGTGCAAACCATTGCAGCATTTAGATACTAATCCCAGTGTAAAGCAAAACCCAGACTATAACATACAATTTTGGTTGTGGAAGAGAACTGATTTACCCTGGTGGGCAGCATTGCCTATACAGAGTTAAGAATCTCAGGAAAGTCAGAAATTTATGAAAAATTGTTTTTTTCCCAGTCAATCCTTGTTTATTTTAATACACTCTCAAAACTAAAGCTATGCAGAGCAGCATTCTCGCATTGATACTATGTTTTCCTCACTGCACCACCCTCCTAGAAAACGCCAAGGGCTGCTAATTAGGACCAATTGCACTTGTAAGTTTTATGTTGTTTAACGTGGCATCATCTCAGACTCAGGTGAAATCACTTGCTCTCCCTCTGGCCTTTCTTTCAGTGGGCACTGATATTTTCCCCAAAATCAGCAGCAGCTGCTGCTGAAACTGTAACTGCCTCACGAGCAGAGAAGGGCAACGATGTGGCAGGGGAAGGGGAAAGCTAGAGAAAGAGAACCACCCACCACATGCAGCAGGGCCCCATGCTCCTCTCTCCCTTCTAACTGCATGGCCTTTTGGGGGCATTTCTAGTCCTTTTGGGCAAGTGTGGTGGCAATTGGCTGCATTTTCATGGCTTGCAAGAACAGCGGGGTGCTCTGCTGTGCAGCAGGCTGGGAAGCGCAGGGGTAGGGACAGAAGTGCCACCTGCTGCCCAATGGGACATCTTTGTCCCGGCCTCACGTGTCAGCACAGGGACGTTCCCCAGACCAAGAACAGGGGGTAATGTCTGTGACCCCCAGTTTGCTCCAAGAAACAGCCCTTTTGCACCAGCCCCCGTTCCCTCAGCTCAGCCTGCCTCGGAGGAACTGCTGAGCTGCTGCCCTCGAGGTAGATGCTCAGTCAGGACTGTGCCTGCATCAGCAAGGCCCAGAACAGCCACAATAAACCACAGTGCTGCAGCAGAGGAAACACTCTGTAAACGTGGGCTACGGAACCCCTCTGTCACGCTAAGCAAAGCTCTTTGGGATCCTTCAGAATGAAAGGTCCTAGTCAAAACGCACCGAATATGGAAGACGCAAACGTGAACGGTTTTGTGTGTTAAAACGACCGCTCCTGCAGCGGCTGCCTCCGATAACCCAACGCAAACTGGTGCCTCCTTCACTCGCACGGTTCTCAGAGCCCCATGATGCTTACGAGGGCCTCCTGCCCTGCGCACCGTCACGATAACTCCACAAAGGATCCATCCAACAGTGTTTCAAGTCGTTCTGAGGGAGACACTAGGACAATCCCACATAAGCAGTCTTTTTCCTAGCTCAAAATCCTTTAAGGCCTCTCTGCACACGCATGGATCTCAATCAAACCACTCCTGGGGGATTAGAAATCCACCACACTATATAAAGGTGGAATGACATTGATTTTGTTCAAATGAGTAACGGATAGTAGGACGCAAGCTTTTAAAACAAAGGAAATCAATGAAGCCATTAAAGAAACTCACCATAGTGATTGGTCCTATTGCCTGGGTCATGTTTTGGGCAGAACACTCTAAAATGTAAGTTCAATTTTAAGAAAAAGAGAAAAGGTATTAATAAATATGTAAACAGTGTTGACTGGTTTTTAACAGTTACTTCCCCCTCTTTTAATTGAAAGTAAATTGAAAGATTTTTTTTTTTCAAATCCTGATTTTTATTCAGCATTACCCACCTACCAAAGCCCCTACATCATCTGCTGCAAAGTCACACATGTGCACAAGGTTGTATTTGTATTTTGGAGCCTCAGCAGCCTCTGAACGCTGCCACATTCTGACTCATCTCTTCCTCTACCCCACTCCTCTTGGACCTACTCACTGCTTACACCTTGGTGTCAGCCTCATTTCACACAGCCTGGCGATGGGGCACTGTGGCAGAAGCTGCAAGCTTGTTGAAGCAACATATTAAAACACGATTAATGTTATCCAGGTGAAATATCAAGTGGGGACACCCCTCTTGGGGGTCCAGTAGCTGTAAGCTACTCAATCCCTCCATTTCTTAGTCATGTGCAAGACAGGAACATTTTCTCCATGTAGCAAGCAACATTCTTCATCTCTGGATACAGTAACACGTAGAAAGAAACGTCTTTCCAGGAAGCACAGGCCAGCTCCCAGCCTGTCTTACAAAACCAGTGCCTTTCTTACAGAAGGATCCCAAGTCAGTTTTTAAACAGTTTCGTCTTGCCAGAGTGTGGCTTAGCTGATCTCTTCATTAGCAAATCCCTATTTGACAAGACTAACACTCAAGTGTTTGAATTCTTTTTAAGGTGAATTGCATTTACATGGGCATTTTCTAATTATTTGAATTCTTTTCATTAAAAAAAAAAATCCAGGTGCTGACCTTAGAAAGGCAGAGTGCTTCCTTTACAAGCCAGTTTCTGCATATGAAATTCATTCTGATGCACAAAACCCAGATTTACACGTGCCCAACAACTGGGTGGGAGAACTAAGCACAGAGACACTTTACTTACATCCCTGAATTCCTAATACTGCCTCTTGGGTTTCCCACTGTAAATCCATACGCCTGCGGTTTTCACGTCTGGCTTCTTTTCTCTCCAATAATCTCACACTAGCTACAAATTTGGTCTTTCTTCATTTTTTTTCCCCCCCAACGAATATAGCGCAAAAACAGGGTTTAGGCCCAAACCCTTTGAACTTTTCACTACTTTTCTTCAGTCCAGTCATTTTTCACTTTCTCACAGAGGCTGCCTTAGTCTAGCTCCCTATATTCCTATATAGCAATGCGTAACTTGTCTCATGCAATGTCACACTAAAGGCTGTTTTCAAGTTCAGGTTTCCCCTTCCGAATCTCCAGAAAGCCATCAAACCAAACCATGTATTCAACAGGCTCTTTATTAGTTTGTATATAGACTGTTTCTGTCCAAGGTATTGTTTCTAAAGTTGTACAGTAGCAGCCATTTATTTTGTGATCCCAGGGAGTTTCTACTCCATGTAGTTCCAACTACACTCTCATGAGCTTTACAGACTCCAAGCGACCTTTTAAAACATGGTAAACTGAACATGCCATCTTCCCTGTAACTAGGCCTACACACCTTCAGAAAAAGGGACTTAGTTTGGATTGAGACCTATGAAAGCAGTCAGGAAGAGTATTTTGGACTGGAGAGTGCAGTTAATTGCACTACTCCACTTCTTGAAACGAGCAACAGTTACACAATTTCCTAGACCAGAGGGGTCCAAGGTCTCTCTGTCCTTACACAGAAAAGGGCATTTGGGGTTCTAGGAACCTCAGTGCTTACTGAAACAGCAGCATCTCCAAAAACTGCCAGCAACCTCAAATCCCAACCCCTTCATCTGCAGGGTACCATTCCCTCCTCCAAATGACTGGCTCCATCTACTGACAGTAAAGCAGGCAGCCCAAGGGCAGAACACCTCAGGACTAGCAGGATCAGGAGGAAATGTATTTCCTGACATTTTCTTAAAGCCTGCTCAACAGCTTTACTATTAGCAACATACAGGAAATATAAGGAGGTCTGAAAGGGGAATTCAAACTTAGAAGAGCTAAAGAGTTAGAAAATGTTTGGTTAAATACCGGTAAACTCCATTCACTTCATCTGTTTCTATGGCTGCATCGTCGCACCGTGCACAGAAATAGTGGTAACTCCTGCGACAGGCTTTTTCCTCACACCCCACAGTGGCTCCTTTCTTGCGACAGAAGTTGCACATCTAAAAGAAAACGAAGTTTAGCAGGGGGATGCTTTAGTTAACTACTGAAAAACCTCAGCCTTACCAGGCAAACACTGTCGTCTGTGGGAGAATGAATCTTTCACTGCATACATGAACATTTCACTGCATTTCACTCCTGCGAATCTCTACCGCGTTCATTTTTCCAGTCACTTTTCTGCTATTTTGCCACAATTTTGCACTGATTATTTTGTAAAATGCTGTAAAGAGCCGTACGAGGCACTGCACATCTTTCCCCCTTCCTCTAAACCTTGTCCAAATTATTTCATTGGGTTATATTTGTGGGTTTTGGGGGTCTTCAAAACGGAAAAAGATCCATCCTGGAGACAAGGGAGAAAGGCAGCTAAAGACAAAGACAATAGAAAAAGCCTCATATAAATAACCTTCCTTCTGCTAAAACATGTTTTCCTTTATACCTCCGAATTACATATTTTTGTTTCAGACACAGTCTCAATTCTCTACCAAAATATTCTTTGGAAAGTCTTTCCTTTAAGTCTTTTAGGGAAGGGGAAAAATAAAGCCCAGAAAACCCAACAAATGCTAACAAAAAGTATACTAAATTTCACTAAATATAATGCCAAACAAGTGTTTCTATCTCTAAATTGGTAGCTTCCTTCATCAGCAGAACAAAGCACTTTTCTGCATTTCTTTCCTTGAACCTTCTGTGCACACCCTGCTGCTGTTAGTGCCAAGGGTAGATTCACAAAGAAACTGCCTTACCAGCCGCTTTCCTCTTCGCAGTTCATTCAACACTGATGCCACATCAAATCTTAAATCTAAATTATCTGGGTTATATTCTTCAGATTCCACAAATCCTGAGGAAAATAGCTAGGGACAACAGAAAAAAAAATAGGATGGGGCAAAAATTGGGGTAAAAAATTACCAGTGAGTTTTTTTGTTATTGTTGTATGTGGCTAGTTTCAAACAGAAGCTACCCTTACGTTGACTGGCAGGCACAGCCTGCCCACTGAGGAGGACAGAGGTAACTATAAAATAAAGCCAAACCCTGCACTCTTCTCCAGATAGAAGTCAATAAAGCTAACATCCAACTAATACCTATTTTTAGAGTGTTATGTGGATGTATCAGATGTTTCAGAAAAATGCACTTCTTACTGCAATTTTGTTTGGTTGTCTTTAGAATAAATAAGGATGAAAGCTTTAAATTCATTCCTGAAAAAAAAACCTGCTCTAAGTGACCCGTGCTGAAAGGAGGATCTTTCCAAGCCTGAAATCCAAGAAAGAGCTCTACTAAGATTAAAGAATAAGGAGAGGCATTTAGCCAGCAAAAACAGTTTTTTTCTAGGATCTTAACACACTTAAGTTCACTGACAATTATATAATCAACTTCTGATTTTTTTATTCCTTATCTTACGCAAAATAGACTGAGACATTTGCTCCTTGACATATCAAGTAATGCATGGTTTTTTACTGCAAAGGTTTAAGCAAACATACAACCTTCTGTGGTTTGACAAGTCTCACTCATGTCATTGTTTAAGAAAATACGTGAATAGAGAGACAGCAATGAAACAGGTCCCTTTCTTATAGGTTTGGTGCATCCTACTCCTAGCCCAGCTTTATTCCCATTCCCCCTCCTGACTGCCCAACATCGGAACGATTTTAACATTACTTATTTCTGGAGGCAAACTTCCTGTAGCTAATCTGCTCAGGAGGATCACAAAACTGATGATCATTTTCTGTTCCAAATGAAACAGGACAGGAAAAAGGTGACAATCAATGGAAACATCCCCTTTGGCCCTTCTTCATTCCCCTCCACGTACTGACCAATCACTCACCAAACAATCCTGATGAACTGCAATATTTTGCTCCGTGGCAATGTACATTATAGAGCCAGCCTCCCCCTCCGAACAAAATGCACATGTTCTTCTCACCATCTTCGCCATTATCTGGAAATCACCTGGAGGGGGAAAACTGGGACAAAACAAAAACCAAGTGGTGAAATTCACACACACCAAGCAGGGTGAGCAGTAGAGAGCAGAGCTCACTAGCACGGCCCTTGGAAACAGGCTCCTAGGAGCCCTAGCAGTTACAGCAGAGGAATAAGAACTTGTAAATTTCCCCTTGAAGGTTCACTAAAAAAATCATGGGACGAAGGACAGGGATAAAAACTTTCAAAGAGAAGTAGCTCTCAAACTTCTCTAGTGTCTTCCAGGAAGTGACAAAAACCAAGGAAGAAACATTAATTTCTTACTGTGAAAAATATGTAGCAAAGAAGTGTGAGGTATATGCAAATAAAAAGGGGGAGGAGAGAGAGAGAAACGGGGGATTTTAATATTTTCTGCCACTGTGGTAGAGTGCTAGTTTGGTCAACACCATTTTCTCTATACCCTGGCATTTGCCCCATGGACACCTGTTCTCTTTTTCCAGCCACATCCACAAGTCTTCATTGCCCACTTGATCTAGTCTCTCTTCTCCTCCTTCCCTCCACCCCCAAAACTGCAAGAAGTTTTAGGCCATCTACTTATTCCACGGAACAGTCTAAATGCTTCTGTAAGACTCTTTGCCTCCATTCATCATTTAGAGCATCATTAAACACATTTGTAACAAAAGTTCTACCTTGTCTTTGGTTTCTGTGCAGGTTCAACGCAAGATCCACAACAATCTCCTACTCCCTCTAGGTGTGATACTCCAAAGTAGCCTTTGCTGTTGATGCTACCTCCGAGAGCCCAAAAGCCTGCAGGAAAATGGTAAGAAACGGACACTTTTAAGAAACGAGAAGATTCAAAATGAACTTCTAGGGACAGAGAGGCAGCAAGGTCCAAGTATAACACAGCCAGGAAATCCCATATCCCAGAAATTCCTGCACACCTTTCTGTGGCTTTCAGTGATCATCTCCCATCCAGAAAACGGAAGTGGTAGTCTCAAGTGAGAAGAACACAAGAGTAAGGGTGGTTCTTTGGGTCTGCTATGCAGACAGTAATCTTAGGCAAGTCACTTCACCTCCACAAGCATGTTTTTCCTCCCATCTTTCTAACTCTTATAGATATTCTGATTGGGCATTCTGAATCCACATAGTGACCATCACAACAACAGTCTTGGAATTCAGGCATTTAAATAAATGCAAAAGAAAGAGAAATGTATAATAGAAACCAGAAATAAAGATGGGAATAAATCACAAAGTAGAATAAGCTAGTGATCAGAACAGGCAACACTGGGCAGAAAATAAATCACAACGCAAGGAACAGCCAGATGCAGATGAAAAGCAGGAGCTGCAAACAAAATGTAGAGGTAAGACTGGATGGTCTGTCATGCAGCTCAGGGAAAGTTGTCCGCAGCCGGCTAATACCTGGGATCGATGCAGATACATAGGCCCTGCTCAGGCCTAATCTGAGGCTTGGGCTCGAGGGGCTCTGGCAACGTGGCAGGAAGAGGATAAGAGTGAATCTACAGTCCCCGGTGCTGCTAGAGGCTTTGAGGAGAAATCCTGGTGCTGAAAGACAATACACGGTGCTCAGTGAGGGTCAACGTGGGGCCTCTCCTCTTGCTCTCCCCAGCCTCGCCTCCACGAAGGGAGCACTGCTGCATGTCCTCAAAAACACAGGACAGCAGCGTCAGATACGGAGCTAAATGGGGCAGCACATCCACATCCCGATGCTCTCATAGTGAGGAAAGGGGCAAAGACATGTTCTGAGTCCCACAGTTATATTTTGTTTACAGAATCCTTAGCTTTTGCTGTCACTCAGAGGTTTGACCTGACACCCCAGTTCTCCTGTTTGAATAGGCAAGAAGCAACTGTTTCTTATTCTGCTACTCTAGGAGCGCCATGTTATTGCAGATCCCCTCCAACTGCCTTTCATGTTGAAGACGTTGGTTCCTCTGCAGAAACAGCTCCACATCTTCAGTCAGCCTTGGCACCTCTCCATATCTAAGATCACACCTTCAGCAAGGTGGAGCACCACAGACCATACGAGGGCATCTTCTTTCCTCTCTTTCCCCTTCTTCATTTCTAGTAGTCCAGTCACATTCTGAGGTACTTCTGAGCATGTTTTCAAAGAACTACCCTAGATCTCTCTACTAATTTGGAAGTCACCACTGCTACGATGGGTGCTCTGCGGTATGTTTAACTTTTCACTTTCCAGAGCTATTGTATAGCCAAATCACTCGCTGTCACCGAGTCCTTCTGCAACTCCTCACAGGAGGCCTCCACTATCACTGCTACTGAAGTAGACTGCAGGGACTAAGGGGGAGCAATTCATCCACAGAAGCTGGAGACCCCCCACACAGCAGTTGGAGAGGACCTCTGGAGATGAGCTAGTCCAGCCCTCCACAAGCAGGGCTGGTTTCCACAACCCTCCCCTAATGACGCAGCAGCGGAAGCCACAGAACAGGAGCTAGAGGAAAAGCAATCAGAAAAAAGAAATCACGTGTCCCTGCTGCTCGTCTTGCTTTGCTGCAAGCACTCACTGACAAGCACAGTTTGTTTCAAAAGTGACAGAAGGCAGAAAACCCATAAACGAAACAGAAAGTGACAAGAGGGATGATAACACAATTGCCAAGTGTCTAGGCTAGGCTAATACAATTAGCAAGTAGGTCTTCATGGAATATAGCCTGTTTAATCAATGATTTATTTTCAAGAACCAAATCTGGAAGCACCCTGCAAGTAATACAATTTATGCATTTTACACGGGGGAGAACTGAGGCACAGAGGATCCACAGCACATCTCTAGCTCCGTGAGAGTCCACATCTCCCGACCTGCTCTAAACCCAGGGCCACAGCTTCTGTCCTGCTACTCTCTGCAGCTTGACACGGAGCAGGAATCAATCAACTGAAGGAAAAAAAGAAAGGAAATGCCGGCCTACCATCCCACACTCAGTGCTTCCTCCCCCCGCACTTCGTGGGGAGGCAGCAGCCCTGGTCGCTCACTTTGTCCTTCATACTCCACAGCCGGGAGCGCGCGGCGGGGGGCCCCTCCTCTCCGTCCCGCGGGTCTGA